AAATTTTAATGCCCAGTTTTCATAGCTGAATGAATATTTAAAGGGTATGTCCCAGCTTAAGTTATGATGATGAAGAAATTAATGGAATGTCTTGTTTAATGCATGGATATGTGTTGATGCAAAAAGTGGCAGAGGCATGGGGAGGGGGAAGGGAGGCAGAGCCTGAGCGGAAGGGAGGAGGGGAAAGGGGCCATCCACCTGCCCACTCCCTGCAGCAGGTGGGAGCGGACAGCTCCAGATCTGGGCCAGCCCACTCGCTCCCCCGGAGGGGCACCCGGCTGGAAATAAAACACAGTCCACAAGGCTTTGTGATGTCCACAGAGGATGGACCCCAGAAGCCTCCAGGGAGGCTGCAGGGAGCTGTTCCTGACCCAGGAAGGGCAGGCCTGGCTCGCCAAACCCCCTTCAGGCACCTGGAGGGGGACATCCACTAAAGCCATGGGGCCTTCATGGGGATGCTGCGGACATCTCAGAAAGAGGGTGGCAAGGAAGGCTCCTGTGCCCTAACTCAGATTCCCAGCAGCCACAAGCCCCAGGACCCTCCAGGGAGGGCAGTGTGCTGGTGGAGAGGAATGGCTGACAGAGGAGCAGAGACAGGGGCAGAAAGGGCACCAAAGGGGTCCTGAGGCCATGGCCAGGGTCCTGGGGGCAAAGTTACAGGAAAGGCACGGAGATGGTAACCGGCTCTTCTGGTCTTCCTCCTGGTCTCATTTCTGGCTCTTCCCTCCTCTCCCGGCTCTTCACCTCTGTTCGCCCTCGCTCTCGCCCTCGCCCTCTGCTCTCCCTCGCCCTCGCCCTCCCCGTCTCCAGTATTCTCTCCGCCTCTCCCCTCTCTCTGTCTCTGCCTTGTTCTTGTCCCATCTCTGCAGCCTGGCCCCGCCTCCTCCCCCAGGACAGATGTGTTCCATCCTCCTCCCTCTTCAGGGCAGAATCAGGGCTGGGTGAGGCTAGCCGAGGACTAGGGGAGGGAGGAAGGTCTCCCTTCAGGCCGGGGCCACCTGTGCAGAGCCTGTTCCAGCTGAGAAATCTTCCCGACCGAGCCTGACACTTTATTTCTGCTGAGAATTAAGAAAGCACAGGGCCGTATATTATCTCACCATCTAGCCCGGCAGCTCTCTGACAAGTCCCGCAAAGGCTGTCTGGATGCTGACCACCATGAGATTATAATGGGACATGAAAAATGACCCAGAAGCTATGGCTGCATAAGAACCAATTCAGTTCTACTTTACCAGTCTGCCTAGAGCACCCCGTAGGTGCCCAGGCCGTGGCTGAGGCAGGTGGGAGGCTGAATAAGACTCCATGTCCCCACTGTTAGAAAGCCCACAGGAAAACTGGAGAGAAGCCGAGGGGCCTGTGTGTAAGGGGTGAGCCCAGCAGCACACTATGGAGGAGGTCTGCCTACACCATCCAGGACCTGTCTGGTTGGGAGGGCTCCTGGGGCATCACAGCTGCCAGGCGCCAAGGGCAGTGGTCTGGCTGCCTATGACTGGGGTGGCCACTAGTGTGGAAGCCTTCATGCACAGGGAAATTTCATTTGCCATGGAAAATAGGACCCATCATATCAGAAATAGCTCTACCCTGGCCATGCCAATCCACAGGACTCACCCCAGCTGTTCTCAGGCCCAGATAGAGAAGACTGGCCATAAAACACAGAAATGAGATGCCAGGGAAGGAGTCTCCTCCAATGGTCCCAGCTGTTCGCTCACACGGGATGAGGCCCCTAGGCACATGGGGTCCTCCTGGCATGCTCTGGCCCCAGGAATGGAGGCTCCCGCCCCAGGAATGGCCTCGTTCCCCAGTTGGGACAGAGCAGCAAAGCCCAACCGGTTCTGGTTCACACCCCCATGTCCGCCCCTTCTCAGCCAGGCCTTCTTTCCATCCTTGCAGGGGAAGGCTCAATTCTTCATCTGGCTCCCTGCTTCCCTCTCTTTCCCTGCACCCCCCTTGCCCTCTGCCTGGAACTTTCCTGGACCATCCCAAGCCTATTCCACCTGTTCCCAGCATCGCCTAAATAAGCAGGCAGATGTCAGGAGTCCTGGGTTCATGTTGATATCACCATTTACAACCTTTGTGACCTCAAGCTAACTTCTTAACCTCTCTGAAACTCCATTTTCTTGACTGAAGTTAGATAGTCTATCTGCATACATCATAGAAGTTGTGATGATCTAGCAATGTGATGCATATATCAGCTATTCCCATTCTCAGGGGTTTGTGGGTCCTTGTGGAGGCCTGGGACACCTAAGCACCATTCCCACCTGCAAGTCAATTTCCAGCCTTGTGTATACCTTACAAACGGAAAATGAGGAGCTCCCCATAGTACCCTTCCCAATGGGGTTCCAACCAGCCTTCGTGAACTAGGGGGCTTTTTTGTTTGCTAGAGCCATCACAGCAAAGTACCACAGACTGGGTGGCTTAAACAAAGGAATCTATTTCTCACAACTCCAGAGGCTGGAAGTCCAAGATCACGGTGTGGGCGGTATTGGTTTCTGGTGAGGTTTGAAGATGGCAGCTGTGTCCTCCTGTGGTCTTTTCTCTGTGTGCACATCCCTGATGTCTCTTTCTCCTCTTGTGAGGCCAGCAGTCATATGGGATGATGGCCCTACTCTTATAACTACATTCAACCCTAAGTACCTCCTTAAAGGCACTATTTTCAAATACACTCACATTGGGAGTTAGCGCTTCACCATATGAATTGTGGGGGCACACTTCATAACAGAAGCCAAGTGGACTAGGCTTAAAGAATGAATAGCTGTTGAGAGGAGAAGGTTTCATGGCACAGCAGGGAGCGTGCAGGCCCAGGGAAGGGACTTGGGAAGGAGGATGCCGGGATGTGGGGTGGGAATGGTGCAAGAGGCAGTGGGGCCAGATTTTGGGGAGGTCAGGCAGAAAAGATACTTGATTTGATGGCCCAAAGAACCTGGCCTCAATCTCCCTTTATGGGATGAGTATTTTACTTCTTCCTTGGTCCCCTTCCTCCTGGAGCAGCTGGGGTCAAATGAGATAAAATATGGCGAAGCCAAAGGCCATTGCATGAGCAACACTGTACCTACTCATTCTGGCTGAATCCCAGCTCCGCCACTCCTCAGAGCTTTGTTCTTCTCATTGAAAAGATGGATATAATAATCCCTACCTTAGAGAATTGTAAAATTACATAAGCAGGAAAGCTGTAGAAATATGTCAAAGAGAACATCAGGGTTGGAACTGGGTCCAGATCAGTCCTTAAAATCTGGTTAGGGGAGAAGAACGTCACAGGTTCAGGGGAAAAGAAGCCTAGAAGGACTGGGCATTGCAGGAGGACAGGCACCCAAGAAAAGGGTGGATGCTGAGTCCCAAACAGCACAGTCACCTGGCTCCCTCCTGGAGTCCTTCTCCCATAGCCAGATGTCTGGTTGGCCTTCTGGATCCTTCCCTCATGGACTGGGAAGGAGCTGGTTCATGGGGAAGCCAGAAACTTCATTACGTTCCTCCTCCTTCTCCTGGATTGGAGTTTGCTGTACCATGGCAGTGTTCTCTGCTGCCGGGGCTTGGGCACAATGCACCTTACCTTCCCTCAATTCCATAAGGGATGTCCAGTGGGGACCTGGTGGCGAACAATGACACCTCAGCCCCTCTCGGTGGGATGACCCTGGCACCATCCCCTGCCACCTCCGGCTACCTATGCCTCCTTCCTTGTTGACTGCGTCCTGCCTCCTGTCTCTGTCCTTCCCGGCCACGGCTCTGCCCTTCCCATAGCCTCGTACTCACCTTGCTGAGTCACGGGCACCCATACTCCCCCATCCAGTTGTCTTGACGCAGCCAAAACTCACTTCAAGTCCTAGACCAGAAGGCAGGAGGAAGCTTGTGATGGCTGGTCCAGCTGCTCGCTGTACGGGAGAGAATTGGCAATGGAAGGTCTCAAGGCACGGGACAGACAGGCAGAAATCACCCTGCAGGCCCCGCTTCCCAGCCGTGCCCTACCACATGGTGGCCTTGGGAAGCACCTGAACACCTCTTGGCCTCAGTATCTCCATCTCTAAAATGGGGGTTTATCTGCTCTGTTGCCTCTCTGAGTCTGAGTTTGTGAGAGAAATGCAGATGCAAGAAGGGCTCAGGGAGGTGCATAAGGGCAGAAGCACTGGCAGAGACATCAAGTTGAAGTTTACTTTTGTGATCCTCCTCATGTTTACTGCTTAAAACACGCTGGGACCTCCGCACTGGAGAGCCCACCCTGGTGCCTCCAGGTGAGACTAGAAGCCAGGCAGCAGATCCTGGAATGCTTGGAGTCCAGAGACCCCTAGTGGCAGGAACAGGCCATTGACACGGATCCCCAAGAGGGAAGAGAGGCCGGCAGGCAGGGGAGTCAGGCCTTGCCCTCCTGTCCTCCTGGCACCCAGACATCACAGGGGCCAAATAGCTGTGCCCACTCTATGCACTGTCTGAGAGGACGACCCTGGCTGCAACCTGGAGCCCCAGCCCTGAGCTCTGCTTTAACCATGGAGCTGGGCGGCCTGGGGCCTCAGCCACCTCTCACCCACAGGCCACGTCTGCCAGCTGGCATGGGTTGGGGTGAAGCTGGATGCCCTGGCCTGGGTGGGGTCCATCTGCAGCCAGCGACCAGCTCATCTCCATAAAGGCAGATGTCTGGAGTGAACTAGAGCTGAGCGAAAGGTGTGCTTTGGGGACACAAAGGCCTTGTGTGACACAGAGAGACAAGGCCAGCGTGTCCGTCAACCTCAGAATCTGATAACAAAGGCTAGCAGGAACTGCTTGGAGTCAGAGGAGGAGGCACCCTAAGCTCTCCCATCCAGACAGACCCCCCAAAAGAAGGGGACCTCGGGCTTGTGCGTCGAGGGGAGATGGGCCGAGCTTTGTAAAGGTGTGTGCGCCTGCAGCAGCATGTGGGAGCGCGTGTCTGTGGGCGCAGTCTGCATCCCTGCATCCACCTGTGCACCTGAGCATTGGGTGTCTGTCTCCTCATCCCCAGGCCTGCTATAACGCTGTCCCCCTGTGCTCTGTTGCAGATGAACCGGCCGATCCAGGTGAAGCCTGCGGACAGCGAGAGCCGAGGAGGTAGTAGCTGCCTGCGCCAGCCCCCTTCACGTGAGGGCCCACTTGTCTCTGCCCCGCTCCCCCCTCACTCCTCCCTCTTTTCCCTGATGCAGCCCTGCGATGCAGCGACTCCCCGCCTCCTCCTCTTGCCCCTCTGGGGATCTCGTGGTTGAGGGTTGGGGAGAGAGCTTTGGAGCTCTGGGTGACTGGTGTGGAGAAAGAGAAGAGGGAAGGAGAGCAATTGGGGTCTTCCACATGGTGGGGCTTGTGCCTCTCTGAGTAAAGAAGTGCCTCGTCCTGGGGCATTCTTCTCCCCTCCGTTAAAACACCCAAAAGGGTGTGCCCACCTGGGTGTTGCCAAGGAAAACCCCACCCTGATGGGACTCATGCAGTCGCAAGGGAGGCAGGAAGTGGTCACAGCTGTGCCATAGGAGGATTCAGGCCACAGGAGGCAAATCTGAGTGGCCCACGGGGGTGTGGGCACTCAAGGCCAGCACTGAAGCAGAGATCCTGGAGATAGAGGTAGGCAGTTGGGCAGATGTCTGGAAAGGGACAGAGGGGAAGGTCCACAGACGCTTGCCCCAGAACATGGACTCCCTGGAGCCTGGCCGTGGAGAGCCTGGGTGAGGGAATGCCGCACCTTGAGGCTCAGCCCTGGAAGGACCAGGCAGATGGCCAGCCAGGAGCAGCTGAATCCCCAAGTGACAGCGTCCTCCTGGTGCAGTGCCTGCGTGGCTGTACTGCTACCTCTCACTCCAGCCCTGGGGGTGATCGGGGCCCACCCTGGGCACAGCCCTGTCCCTAGGCTCCTCTAGATGAGATTCAAACATTAAAAGAAAATGACATTAAAAGACATTAATACTCTGACATTAAAAGAAAATGAAAGGAGAGAACATGGCAAAGAAAATTCATCTAGCATCCAAGATCAGGTGTCCCTGACCCTGGCACCAGCTCCTCCCCCAACAAACTGTCCCCATGATATGGAGCCCATCGCACCTCACTTGTGGGAGAGAAAGAGACTCACCAGCCCCACAGGGTAGAATAATGTGCAGGCACTGCCAGGTGCCCCCTTCCTGACCCGCCACCTTGGGGAAGGTGGATTGCCCTTCCCAATCACCAGCCGCTGGGCTCTCACACTGGGCGCCATTCCCACTGGGCCCTGCTCAGAAGCTGCTCTGAACTGAGCTCTCAGCCACTTCTCCGGGTAGGTGACCAAACGGAGGCTCCTCCAAGCAGGCGAAGGACCCCCAAGGAGAGACTCTGTCCTCTACCAGCAAGGGGCCCCAGCCTGAGTTCCCGTAGAAGCGCAGCCAGGCAGTGAGCCAAGCAGCCATACAGAAGTGGGACACTTGCAGAGGACAGACAGACAGTGGCTCCCTCCCTCCAGCCTCCTCCCACAATGGAGAGACCTTGGAAAAATTGAGAACACCCATGAGGACACCAAGGGGAGCATAAGGAGTTGGGGCCTTTTTTTTTGCCCTGAGAAGGTGACATCGGATACAGCCTCCAAGGTGACCCCAGCCTACCCTTCCCCTAGCCAGAGCTGGGGTGTCCAGCATGAGGGCCCCTGCAGTGAGATGGGACAGCCAGTGGCAGCTGTCCTCTGCCTCCCGGCCAGGAGCTCTTGGCTTCTGCTAACCCCGCCATGCCCTGGGTTCTGGCCTGGGTGTCCGTGTTCAGCACGCTCCCCCAGCCCAGGCCCGGGCCCAGTGCTCCAGGTTTCTTCCCGCTTGTCACGTCAGCCAGGAACTAAGGAATTTCTCTCTCCCTCATCTCCTCAGAAAGTTTACTGGGAAATTAAGGGCAAAAAGTCAAGTAGGCAAAAGCTACTTGCAGGTTTGGAGAGCGAATTGTCCTGGAAGGAGCTGCAGTGTGGCCACTGGTGACCTGCTGAGCCCTGGAGCCTGGGCCTTCCCAGAACTCAGGACCCCTCCCAACCCAGACCTCAGATCCTATCCCCCAGGGCTTGGGCTGGTGTCTCGGTGCTGCCTGAAGGGACCCGGTGTCCCAGGGTACAGACACACCTCCTGACGCCCACTGAGTGCTCGGCCCTAAGGACCCGAGTAGTAAAGGTCCAGTTGGTTGAGGGGTAAAGATGCTTTAGGTGTGAGGGGTCCATGTGAGTGAAGCCCACCTGGTTTGTGCTGCCTGCTCCTGTCCCTTCCTTGGCAGTGAGAGGAGTGCCATCCTCAGCCTCTCCTGGGGCTCATGAGGCACACAGCAGTGCGAGGAGGGGCGTCTCCTGGAGACCAGCACCCACCCAGGCACACAGTGACTCATCTGCAGCCCTCACTCCACACGGCCCAGCCAGAAGGCAGCGGCGTGGGGAAGCTCTCAAGGACAGGCAAGAAGCTGGGGCAGCAGGTGCCAGCCACAGTTCCGGAGAGGGGATTCCCAAGGTGGGGGCTGCCAGAGGGCTTGGGAGAGGTGGCACTTCTGCCCTTGAAGGTGGGGGATCCCACAGCTGGAGAGGGGGGGATGGCATGAACAAGGATCACAGAGCCAGGCCTCTGAGGGCCACAAGGAGGTGCCATCTGGCACAGAGCAGTAGGTCAGAGTCCAGCCGGTTTTCTCCAGCATGGCTGGAGAGGGGTATCTGGAATCCCCTCTGCCCAGCAAGGCCATCCTGGGCTCTAACTCAAACCTTTCTGTCCCTGAACTTGCCTCAGAGGCAATAGCTCTCTGACTCCAAGATGCTAACCTCATCGGCTTTCCCCTATATATCTCCTGCGGCTGACACTTGCCCCAAACCAGATTAATCAGCTCTTTTATTCTTCTCGCAGTAGAAAGTAGGGGGGAGCCAAACCTAAACATCTATCTATTAATTGCATATTCAGTATTAAACAGCGAGATGGCCCTGAGTCAGCACTATCACCAAGCTTTTTTTTTTTTTTTTTAAGAAAGTTAGTTTAAAATAATTTAATAGCCATTAAATACTTCTGGGGAGAAGGAGAAGGAAGAGAAGTGAACATTTTAAAAGATTAAAGAAATGGGCAAAAGGAGAAGGGAATAGAAAGAAGGGATGGGAGAGGGATGGAGGAGGTGGGTGATGGCAGCGGGCAGGAGGAGAGGAGAGAAGGAGGTGAGAAAAATAGACAGGTGAGGGGAGAAGAAGCAGGAGTGGGGGTGGGGAGAGAGGCCTTGAAGACAGTGGGTGATGGAAGACTGGGGCACAGTGGTGCAGGGGGAGGGGAGCAGAAGCAGGCAGTGGCCACAGAGGGAGAGGGAGGGTCAGCCCCAGCCCTGGCTCAGCAGCAAGCCAGGTTACAAGTCCCCAGAACCCAGAGGACACAGGATACCTGTCCCCAGCTGCCTGTCCAGGTGCACTTGAATGCTCATGAGCAGCACAGAAAGATGTGTTTTCTGCCTAGGATTTGTCCTGGAAGGAACATGCAGGGGTCTTTGGCCAGGGGACAGGAGGAAGGCTTCTCTCCACCTCGCCCAGCACAGAGCTGGCTGCGGCCCCCTGCACGGCCATATCATGGTTCCACTTCCTCATCCCCAACCTCAAGCTTCTAGACACGTGCCCGGTCACATCCACCACACGCATGAGGTATAGGGGTGTCTGGGGATGGGCCTGGGCAGCGTGTTGGCAGGTCTGTGTGCACAGGAGCGCTTTTTAACTTTCCTGTCTCTGACACACATGGATTGCTGGCTGAGGCTGACTGGCCACTGTCAGGAGTGATTCAGAGAGCTCAGTTCATTTTTTTTTTTTTTTTTTTTTTTTTTTTGAGATGGAGTCTCACTCTGTTGCCCAGGCTGGAGTGCAATGTCGTGATCTCAGCTCACTGCCATCTCCGCCTCCCAGCTTCAAACAATTCTTCTGCCTCAGCCTCCCGAGTAGCTGGGACTAAAGGTGTGTACCACCACACCCAGCTAATTTTTGTATTATTAGTAGAGATGGGGTTTCACTATATTGGCTAGGCTGGTCTCTAACTCCTGACCTCGTGATCCGCCCACCTCAGCCTCCCAAAGTGCTGGGATTACAGGTGTGAGCCACCACGCCCGGCCTCAGTTCTTTTTCCTTTGGTGTGAGGGCAGTGGCAGCCTTGCCTCTTAATGGGTGGGCGTGGAGACACAGGTACAGAAGGAAGTAGAGCTGGCTGGGTGCTTGCCTGGAGCACCCAGCAAGAGTGTAGGAGGCAGTTCTTGTTTCGATGGAAGGTTCTTGTCTGGAATGAGCTCCAGCTCAGGCCCACCTCCGTCTCTGGGCCTCCTATCTCCTCACATGGGGGGCTCAGGAGTCATTATCCATAAAGTAGCTGTTTATAGAACACTGACTGAGGGCTGGGGATTTTGTGGAAATACGTTTTTTTAATTGTTGTTTTTCGTTTTTAAGATGGAGTTTCACTCTTATCACTCAGGCTGGAGGGCAGTGGCACGATCTTGGCTTACTGAAACCTCCGCCTCCTGGGTTCAAACGTTTCTCCTGCCTCACCCTCCCAAGTGGCTGGGATTACAGGCACCTGCCACCACATCCAGCTAATTTTTATATTATTAGTAGAGATGGGGTTTCACCATGTTGGCCAGGCTGGTCTTGAACTCCTGACCTGAAGTGATCCACCCATTTCGGCCTCCCAAAGTGCAGGGATTACAGGCATGAGGCACTGTGCCTGGCTGGTAATATGTTTAATTTATACAGCAACCTCAAGGTATGGATGTTCTTGGCTCCACTTAAAGGTACAAACCAAGGCACAGAGAGGCTAGATAGCTTCTTTTAGGGCATATAGCCAGAAAATGGCAGAGCCAAAATTCCAACTTCTACCTGTTAGCCCTCAGAACCCAGGTTACATGTATTCTTGTCACTCCCAGGAGGGCTTCTCGGACTGTGTGGCTCAGGGGCAGTGGGAAGGAACCACAGACATTTGTCTCACCTTTAGGCCCATTCTCAAGGCAGCTGAGGTGAGAGGAGGAGGGTTCCAGGTGAGGAAGGCAGGATGAGACTGGACAAGGAGCTCCCAGACCTACCCATGAAACATGAATGACCAGGGAAGGAGTGGATCAGAGAACAAAGAACTGACTGTGGCCTAGAGCAAGCAGGAAGGGCTTCC